CATTTGTCTGATTTGTTTTACTTTTGTTAAGCATGATAAGACACAACTTTTGGCAAAGTTTAAAAAAATTCTGTAGATAGGGTTCAGAGCCATCCTTAATTTTCAAAAATTTAAGGTGGCTCTGAACCCTACCATCAGAATTTTTTAAAACTTTGCCAAAAGTTGCGTCTAATAGTATGCTTATCAAAAGTTGATAATATGAAAAAAATTCATTGTGCTCTCTTTGAATTATAAGCCCCTAAAGCTGTAATTAAAGGCGTTTTTAGGAGGTCAGAATGTTGCTATGGTAAAATATTGGGTCACGAAAATGATAACGTGTTCACAAATGATTGGGCAGTTTTGTGATACCATGATTGTAGCATCAAGTGATAAAGAGTGGTTATAACGACCCATCAAAATCTAAGTGTTGGAAACTGTTTTGAGCCACCTTAAATGGAGACAATTGTTCAATTAATAAGCTTTTACTACAGACAGTGCCACAAGTGCATGCATAGGCGTACGGGCACCTTTGGGCTTGGGGGGCTGTGACCTTCTTGCCCGAAAAAATTATGCAATGCCCTAATGTGTGAGTGTTGAAATCGGGATGCAAACCCACTCAGATTGCATGAAAAACAAAAACTTTACAGTTCTCACATCTAAGAAAAGTGCTATAATCCCAAAAATAGTTGTATTGAAAGCTTGCCTACTCAATGACTGCTATCAACAGTCTCAATCTAGTAAAATCTAAAAGTTGTTAAAAGAAAAAGTTCTTCATTTCAGTCGTACTCCTTTTTGGCAAGGCCAAAGTTGTACAAAGTAGCTTACAAGCCTTGAAACCTAAAAAACAAAACAGAGGGCTCGTTCTTTTTCCTGAGCCTGAAAGTTACTACCGTGCAGTGGGGTTTTTTGTGCGTCAACGATACTTCAGATCAGCAGCAAATATAAATTTTACACTTTACCTGATACTCCTTTAATAAAGTGCTAACTCTCTCACTTGACAGTCTAAAGACTCCTGGTCAGGCGTCTTATCACCAGAGATACATAAAAAGTAACTAACTAGAAACTTTATATATCTACAAGTTTTGAAAATTACACCAATAGCATTATTTTCTACAGTGTTTTTGCCTGAATCATGGGCTTTTTGACCAAAAAAAATTACATAATTTCTGCAGCTGGGGGGC